GTCCCCCTCCTGAGCGCTGTCTGTGCACCAGCTTTCTAGGAGCCGCAAGGGCGCAGAAATCTGGCTCAACTCTAGCAAAGGCAATGTTGCAAGACTGTAAGGAAGATGCGCACCATAAAAACGGCCGCAGATCTGCTGGAGATGTCCTGCCAACCAAGCCTCACAGTAGTCCAACATGTGTGTTTGTGCAATTAATTTCTGCTACTTCGGGCCAGATGGGTTAAAAGACTGCCTTGACCTGCACGGCTGAGACATCACCTTACACGCCGTCCCCCTCCTGAGCGCTGTCTGTGCACCAGCTTTCTAGGAGCCGAAAGGGCGCAGAAATCTGGCTCAACTCTAGCAAAGGCAATGTTGCAAGACTGTAAGGAAGATGCCGCACCATAAAAACGGCCGCAGATCTGCTGGAGATGTCCTGCCAACCAAGCCTCACAGTAGTTCAGCATGTATTTGTGCAATCAATTTCTCCTACTTCGGGCCAAATGCATTAACAGGCTTCCTTGACCTGCACGGCTGAGACATCACCTTACACGCCGTCCCCCTCCTGAGCGCTGTCTGTGCACCAGCTTTCTAGGAGCCGCAAGGGCAAAGGCAATGTTGCAAGACTGTAAGGAAGATGCCGCACCATAAAAACGGCCGCAGATCTGCTGGAGATGTCCTGCCAACAAGCCTCACAGTAGTTCAGCATGTGTTTTGTTGTGCAATCAATTTCTCCTACTTCGGGCCACATGAGTTAAAAGACTTCCCTGACCTGCACGGCTCAGACATCACTCTACACGTCGTCCCTTTCCTGAGCGCTGTCTGTGCACCAGCTTTCTAGGAGCCGCAAGGGCGCAGAAATCTGGCTCAACTCTAGCAAAGGCAATGTTGCAAGACTGTAAGGAAGATGCCGCACCATAAAAACGGCCGCAGATCTGCTGGAGATGTCCTGCCAACCAAGCCTCACAGTAGTCAGCATGTGTTTTGTTGTGCAATCAATTTCTCCTACTTCGGGCCAAATGCATTAAAAGACTTCCTTGACCTGCACGGCTGAGACATCACCTTACACGCCGTCCCCCTCCTGAGCGCTGTCTGTGCACCAGCTTTCTAGGAGCCGCAAAGGCGCAGAAATCTGGCTCAACTCTAGCAAAGGCAATGTTGCAAGACTGTAAGGAAGATGCCGCACCATAAAAACGGCCGCAGATCTGCTGGAGATGTCCTGCCAACCAAGCCTCACAGTAGTTCAGCATGTGCTTTGTTGTGCAATCAATTTCTCCTACTTCGGGCCACATGAGTTAAAAGACTTCCCCGACCTGCACGGCTCAGACATCACTCTACACGTCGTCCCTTTCCTGAGCGCTGTCTGTGCACCAGCTTTCTAGGAGCCGCAAGGGCGCAGAAATCTGGCTCAACTCTAGCAAAGGCAATGTTGCAAGACTGTAAGGAAGATGCCGCACCATAAAAACGGCCGCAGATCTGCTGGAGATGTCCTGCCAACCAAGCCTCACAGTAGTCAGCATGTGTTTTGTTGTGCAATCAATTTCTCCTACTTCGGGCCAAATGCATTAAACAACTTCCTTGACCTGCACGGCTGAGACATCACCTTACACGCCGTCCCCCTCCTGAGCGCTGTCTGTGCACCAGCTTTCTAGGAGCCGCAAGGGCAAGACTGTAAGGAAGATTCCGCACCATAAAAACGGCCGCAGATCTGCTGGAGATGTCCTGCCAACCAAGCCTCACAGTAGTTCAGCATGTGTGCTTGTGCAATTAATTTCTGCTACTTCGGGCCAGATGGGTTAAAAGACTTCCTTGACCTGCACGGCTGAGACATCACCTTACACGCCGTCCCCCTCCTGAGCGCTGTCTGTGCACCAGCTTTCTAGGAGCCGCAAGGGCGCAGAAATCTGGCTCAACTTTAGCAAAGGCAGTGTTGCAAGACTGTAAGGAAGATGAGGCACCATAAAAAACGGCCGCAGATCTGCTGGAGATGTCCTGCCAACCAAGCCTCACAGTAGTTCAGCATGTGTTTTGTTGTGCAATCAATTTCTCCTACTTCGGGCCAAATGCATTAAAAGACTTCTTTGACCTGCACGGCTGAGACATCACCTTACACGCCGTCCCCCTCCTGAGCGCTGTCTGTGCACCAGCTTTCTAGGAGCCGCAAGGGCGCAGAAATCTGGCTCAACTCTAGCAAAGGCAATGTTGCAAGACTGTAAGGAAAATGCCGCACCATAAAAACGGCCGCAGATCTGCTGGAGATGTCCTGCCAACCAAGCCTCACAGTAGTCAGCATGTGTTTTGTTGTGCAATCAATTTCTCCTACTTCGGGCCAAATGCATTAAAAGACTTCTTTGACCTGCACGGCTGAGACATCACCTTACACGCCGTCCCCCTCCTGAGCGCTGTCTGTGCACCAGTTTTCTAGGAGCCGCAAGGGCGCAGAAATCTGGCTCAACTCTAGCAAAGGCAATGTTGCAAGACTGTAAGGAAGATGCCGCACCATAAAAACGGCCGCAGATCTGCTGGAGATGTCCTGCCAACCAAGCCTCACAGTAGTTCAGCATGTGTTTTGTTGTGCAATCAATTTCTCCTACTTCGGGCCAGATGAGTTAAAAGACTTCCCTGACCTGCACGGCTCAGACATCACTCTACACGTCGTCCCTTTCCTGAGCGCTGTCTGTGCACCAGCTTTCTAGGAGCCGCAAGGGCGCAGAAATCTGGCTCAACTCTAGCAAAGGCAATGTTGCAAGACTGTAAGGAAGATGCCGCACCATAATAACGGCCGCAGATCTGCTGGAGATGTCCTGCCAACCAAGCCTCACAGTAGTTCAGCATGTGTTGTTTGTGCAATTAATTTCTGCTACTTCGGGCCAGATAGGTTTAAAGACTTCCTTGACCTGCACGGCTGAGACATCACCTTACACGCCGTCCCCCTCCTGAGCGCTGTCTGTGCACCAGTTTTCTAGGAGCCGCAAGGGCGCAGAAATCTGGCTCAACTCTAGCAAAGGCAATGTTGCAAGACTGTAAGGAAGATGCCGCACCATAAAAACGGTCGCAGATCTGCTGGAGATGTCCTGCCAACCCAACATCTTTGTCTCATTTCTTCAAGTTCAAGGCAAACGGCTCCAAGATCCGTCGTTATTTGACTCCCAGAATTCTCACCACAGCTGCTGACCGTCAAAATCAAAAACACTGCCCTGCAGATTGCAAATGTGTTGCCTTACTTCTTCGTACATTCCATGCATTCTTGTCTGCCCAACTCTCATTATCATGCTGTCAGCTCAATACTTACCAGCAGCCCCTCCGGACTCCTGGCTCAAACACCAGCTGTTCATTTGGCAGGCTGAGACAGGAAGAGGTGAGTGCAACATGCACCACCTCTGCTGGAGAGACGCCTGCCAAACTACGGTACCCTCAAAACTCAGAAACCTGTCGCAAGACTGCTTCTTGGCGCATTGCATGCATTCTTGTCTGCCCAACTCTCATCATCATGCTGTCAGTTCAATACTTACCAACAGCCCCTCCGGACTCCTGGCTCAAACACCAGCTGTTCATTTGGCAGGCTGAGACAGGAAGAGGTCGGTGCAACATGCACCACCTCTGCTGGAGAGACGCCTGCCGAACTACGGTACCCACAAAACTCAGCAGCCTGTCGCAAGACTGCTTCTTGGCGCATTGCATGCATTCTTGTCTGCCCGACTCTCATCATCATGCTGTCAGCTCAATACTTACCAGCAGCCCCTCCGGACTCCTGGCTCAAACACCAGCTGTTCATTTGGCAGGCTGAGACAGGAAGAGGTGAGTGCAACATGCACCACCTCTGCTGGAGAGACGCCTGCCGAACTACGGTACCCTCAAAACTCAGAAACCTGTCGCAAGACTGCTTCTTGGCGCATTGCATGCATTCTTGTCTGCCCGACTCTCATCATCATGCTGTCAGCTCAATACTTACAAGCGGCCCCTCCGGACTGTTCATTTGGCAGGCTGAGCCAGCACAAAAAAGGTCGATGCAACATGCACCACCTCTGCTGGAGAGACGCCTGCCGAACTACGGTACCCACAAAACTCAGCAGCCTGTCGCAAGACTGCTTCTTGGTGCATTGCATTCTTGTCTGCCCAACTTTCATCATCATGCTGTCAGCTCAATACTTACCAGCAGCCCCTCCGGACTCCTGGCTCAAACACCAGCTGTTCATTTGGCAGGCTGAGACAGGAAGAGGTGAGTGCAACATGCACCACCTCTGCTGGAGAGACGCCTGCCAAACTACGGTACCCTCAAAATTCAGAAACCTGTCGCAAGACTGCTTCTTGGCGCATTGCATGCATTCTTGTCTGCCCGACTCTCATCATCATGCTGTCAGCTCAATACTTACCAGCAGCCCCTCCGGACTCCTGGCTCAAACACCAGCTGTTCATTTGGCAGGCTGAGACAGGAAGAGGTGAGTGCAACATGCACCACCTCTGCTGGAGAGACGCCTGCCGAACTACGGTACCAAAAAAACTCTGCAGCCTGTCGCAAGACTGCTTCTTGGCGCATTGCATGCATTCTTGTCTGCCCAACTCTCATCATCATGCTGTCAGTTCAATACTTACCAACAGCCCCTCCGGACTCCTGGCTCAAACACCAGCTGTTCATTTGGCAGGCTGAGACAGGAAGAGGTCGGTGCAACATGCACCACCTCTGCTGGAGAGACGCCTGCCGAACTACGGTACCCTCAAAACTCAGAAACCTGTCGCAAGACTGCTTCTTGGCGTATTGCATGCATTCTTCTCGCAAAAAGCGACATATACATGCCCGCTAAGATACCCTCTCACCTGTATCAGCGGGCTTGCCCTGTCCCAATCTCTGAACACTTGCCGGAAACCTTGCCACATCTTCCGACGCAAAGCCATGGCTGCGGAAAATCATTTTTTGGAATCCTTTCTCTAATGCTAAAGGAAACCGGCGTTCAAGTGACAAAGTAGTCATCAGAATGGTTCACTGTGTTATCACGGGAAGGGCTATTTCCCACAGTCATGTGCTAAGCCTAACCAAGTGCAAGCCTAATACTAGCCTTATCCAACCAAACCGAACCCAATCAAATCCTAGAAATCCTAGCCTGGCCCCAACCCTATGCCAATCTAACCCTAAGCCAACCAAATTTCAGTAGGAACCCGATCAAAAGTAGTTGGGGGACACAAATCCCAACCTACCTGGTGTCCACCTACACCCATATGGGTGTCTTTTGGTGGTGGTACCCCTTTTTGGGTTTGTTTCAAACGGAAACCAAAAGGAACCCCGATGCCATTTTGGGGGTCCCCTAAAAACAGACACCCCTCTGTCAGAACCGTGCCGGTCGGTTTCCAAGACGCGGGCGCCTGGGCGCTGGCAATGTCCCGCAGCATCAGCACCTTCTGCCCAGCGACAGACCTCCGAGCCAGGCACTCGGAAACGTGCCCCGATGAGGTGTTCCTTGACTCCTCGCTCTAACCGCCCCATTCGGACCCGTCGTTTTCCAGCGCACTGGTTTGTGATGTCGACCACCTGTATGGCCCTAGCTGGTTTGGGGAGTGTTCTCTCGTTTTGCACCGAATTCAGTATGCTACCCAAACATGGTCTGCCTGGCCTTTACTGTAGTCTTCCGTAAATAAAGGCAGTCGCTCATATGGGCGCTTAAATGCATTTGAAATGGGCTCTATTGCTATAGTGAGTTCTGAAGTCCGAGGGACGAGGTTGCTCGCGCCCTTTCATTTTGGGCAAAGTATGATTCCCAAACCAAAAACAAGGAAGCCCGCTTATAATTACGGACCTTCATCATGGGCTACATTGCTAATTTTACCGCGTTGCCATCCGCAAGCAAAGGGCCCAAACACAATTTGACGCTGGGCGCCATCAAAGGGTGTGATTCGTGAAAGGTCCCTTCGGGCTCTTTCAAGGATGTGAGGCTGCCACGTGCAAGGGAAAGTCAGACTTGGCTCCGTTTATGTCCCTTTGAACATCACCTCACCAAAAGGAAACTCACCCTAAATTGACAACAAAACGCCCCACCGATATGTGGTCTATTACAGCATTCATGGGGTTTCATCGATCCCAACTGCCTCTGGTTTTTGTGAGCATCAAGGAACCCGGCGGCCCGCGGATGCGCACCCGATGGAGTGCCGGCCCTGGGAGGTGTCCCAGATGCGGTTGCTGGGGAAGAAAGGCCTCGCGCAAGCGAAAAGGGGCTGGGGGGGCTGGCGAAACTTGTTGGGGGTCCCCAATCAGGAGCTTTCTCAAAGGGCGGTTTTGGGGTTCCATCTTAGTCTGTAGAGCCCCAAAATTCATGAATAAGCTTGGCAACCAAAGAGGCAAATGGATGACTGTGATACCAAAGTGGTCGCTTCCCATCCACATGACTTTGATTCACGAAGATTCCCTTGGCATCAAAATGGCAAACTCAAGCCACCCATCTTCCGCAACCATAACTCTAAGGAGATGGTTTCTGCTTGGGCTCCGAACAACCGGGTTCGCAGGCACTGGTAGCGTTGTGTGTGTGTGTGTGTCGTTTTTCAGGACCCCTCTGGCAAAGGCAAAAGGAACATGCTCACGATTCTCTTGGGCAAGGACCCAAGGTGCTATCAGACACCTCCCCCGTGGTTCGGATTGGTTTGGAGCTTGCGGGGTAAGGGGTACCTTCCTCTGGTTTCCACAGGTTTCCTCCAAATCAGACCCTGACTTTCTTCGGGAGGTTGGACTCGGACTCGCGTGAAGTGCCCAACTGGTTTTCACGAAGTGTCTTCAAATTCTTAATCTGTTTAATACAAACAAAGTGGTGTTTCATTGCTTTTGAACAAACAAAACGCATCCCTTTTTGGTTGCTTCGCTTCAGCCCCAGGCATCCACTCAGGCACCGCCGTCAGCACCCGCAGCACCCCCGTGGAGGTTCCCGCAGTGACGATGCCGAAGCTGGCGACTCGAGTCCGCGGCTTGGCGCTGATCCCAGCGGGATTGAGAGGCAAGGGGGGTGTTTGTTTTCATGTGTCAAAAGGAAATTTGAAGTTCAATTCCCCGAAATCCAAATCAGTTCAGGGTAACCTCAAAAAGCAAAACCCATCGGAAACGGCCCCCCCTCTTTTTTGGGAGATACCCACATTTGTGGCCTTATGAAACGACTTAGGACATACAGGTCAATTTGACGGGTCTTGATTCTTCCGAGCAATTTAGCACCCAAGTCTTCTAAACAGGGACCCTAGTCTGGACTCAACGCGGACGGTCATTTCAGCGACACTGGAAATGCGGAGTGGACGACCCTCACAAACATTGACCGCACAAAAATAGTGCTCTTTGGACGACCCCACAGAAATGGACATGCGCCCGCGGCCCTCTCAAACCAAGCCAGCATCACTCTGCCCCTGCTTGCTGCATTCGACTCAGCCTCGCAGCATGACACCCCAGAAAGGATTGAACATGACACGGGCAGCAAGTTCATCTGCTACCTAGAAGCTTCTAGGAATCTGCTAGTAGCTCTGTTGCACTAGCCAAGCCCATCTGCATCCAACCATAGCCAAGTCACAATTAGAAGCACCCAAAACCCCATGACTTTGGGTTCTACTAACATGGTGCTAAGGGTTTAGATCGGCCTCATGACAACCCCCAATTGAACCAGGTAGTAGAACTACCGCGTACTAAAATGACAAGGGGTTTTGGGTGCTACCAGTTGGGAATAAACTTGAATGGGCCCTTCGTAGACAGAAATACCTGGTTGACACCTGGCAGGAGGGGTTTGGAAGACTACCTTCCCTTTGCGATATCCACTTTTGATTGTTGGAAAGAGGGTAACATTCCCAGCCCCTAATGGAGAACTGGATGATCTGATGTTTGCCATATGAGGTTCGATCAACACAGACTAGTAAGCAACTGCGAAGGCCGGTAGCTTTCGTATACCCATTACGGAAATCTAAGAACGTTTTGAACTGCCCCCAAACCACTACCCCCAGGGAAATATATCCTTTACATTGATGCTACGCATTTGTATATATATATATATATATACATATATTCATATGTATGTACATGTCTATAGATAGACAATATGGTCACACGCACACAACCACGAACTTCATGTCTATCAGTATTGCGCTGAAACCATGTAAGAACAAAGATGGCTTCCAGTGCTTTGCTGCAAACTACAGCAACTGTTCTGCAAGCCTCAAATTCATAACGGACTTGGTTCTTGAAACTGTGTGATATTGTGTTAAAAAAAAGCCCATGCAAACACTGTTTTTGCAATGCTTGTGAGGCACTACCAAGAAACAAAGGAGTGGTATGCATTGTCCATTGTTGTATGAATGAGTTTGAATGCAAAGGTTGGGAGGCACCTGTGTCACCTTGGTCTAAAGAGTCTAAAGACAACACGGAAAAGGACGCACAAAACCCAGAGAAGTTTTGGTTTGGCAGAAGCATGTTATCGTGTTGTTGTTCCAAGGGTTTGTTTGGCTATTTTGTGTTTCTGTTTGGCTTTTGGAAGGATACGGGCAAAGAACCAAAAACACTCAAGCCGTTGTTCGATTTTGTAGATGCTCAGTCGTTTTGATCGGAAAACTAAACAAAAACCAACAAAACTTGAGGAAGACCCAAAAACACATTGGGGAAAGCAAATAAAAATAAGAAACCGAGAGCAATCGTTGGTTGTTTTGTTGGTTGGCCCAGTGTGTGTTTGTTTCCTCGAGTTAGTTGGTTGCCTGTGCTCTCCAACCAACAAAGCAAAGCTCTCGAGGCTTGTGTGGCTTCGTGGTTATACTACAAAAGCAAAAATATAAAAGAAACAAAAGCCGCTGGAAAACCAACCGAAGATTGCTCTGAGGATGTTGCTGTTGGGTCTCTGCCGCGGAAAGCAAGTGGGTATCTGCCCAAATAAGATCCGGAGTCATCCGGAGCAGCTCGGAGATTCCAGGAGGGTTCCGGGGGTTGCTATTGCCGATACCTCCTGGGCTTGCAGTATGTCTTGTCAGCCTCAAGTTGCTGCTTTGCTTCCCGTGTGCATATGTCTATACTTTCCAGGATCTCTTTGTTCAATGCTTTTCCCATTCCGGGCTGCCACGATGCCTCACGCGTATTCCTGGTAATACCGCCAAATGTCCATCATATGCCGGAACTACGCTTCCACCAAAGTAGACACATGCTACGCATATAGTATATAGTAGGTTCTCATTGGAGATAGCCACAGCATGCCAGCATTGTACTGGAACAGTTGAAATTTACGTATGCTGTGCCAGAATTCTCAGGGGCCAAAATACGAAGCCCTACTGCACAGTGGCTTATCTTTGTTACTGCCCCACTTGTCGATGCAGCTATGATTGATACCATCGTGCCTGGGGTAAGCAGCTAAAGGCTGATAATCCTTCACCAAGTCTGGAGTGATAGATATATGCTCGGAAAGTTGGTCATAACATGCGACAAATCTAGTAAGGCTATGCTGCATACATTCCAGGAGAAATACGATTATTAACTGCAGAAGGTGCATATTCAATATTTGCTAGAAGCAATTAATATAAATGAAACTTGATAAGTATATGGTTCCAATATATTTATTTATATATATTTAAAAAAGAGAGGGAAACAAAAAAGCATGGACAAGGTGGCCTTGGTCCTCAATTGTCCCAGCCCAAAAAAATGCTGCGCATGTTTGTCACGGCAGGGGCGTGAGCATGTACATAACATTATACATGCAAAGTATACATATATAATATGCATATGTGTAATACGTATATTATATATGCATAAGCAATATAACAGTGGTTTTTTGTCCCAGTCACGGTCCTCGGGGTAGCTTCGGTGGGGTGGACTTCGTTGAATTGACTGTCCAAGGCACGACTCCGCCACCAGCTTGATGCGAGCCTCCCCCCCGAAGAACACCTCCGAACGCGCAGATATGCTTCAAAGCCATGCGGGCAACAGGGCTGTTGGGAAGCAAAAACACACACACACACACACACACAGAACAAACACGTTGGGCCCAAAAAACAAACACGGAAAAACTGGGGGTTGGACGCAAAAAGGAAGAAAGGAACAGAAACACAGCCCACTTGCCCATGGAACCTGACTGGTCCCTGAAAGACAATTTCCCTCTACAAAGGGACCTTTCAGGTTAGTTGTGGGAGGGTAAGCTGTTCATCTTGTAAAACACTTGGGTCGCCTGCCTCGCGCAGAAGGTCCTTGAGGGTGTCTGCGCCAGACTTCCTGCACAGGAGCTGGCAAGGAATCTCTGTGAAGGGCTCCCGGACCCCCTTGTCTTGGTTCGTCATTTTCTTGCAGGTAGGCCTGGCTTAAGCGCGGTTTGGTGACTCCGGCTTTCCCGACAAGTCCCGGAACCCTAGCCCGCTGGACGTGGGGATTTTCTGTGACCGTTCTTGAGTTTCCTGCAGTTGACATGGGCAAAGGACTGAGTTGGTTGACATGGGCAAAGTGTCAAAGTTTGCGGCCAAAGGGATCTCATTTAGATGGATGGTTCCCAAACTCAAGCCCACATTCAAGCGCGCTGGTCAAAACGTTGCCTTTTGCTCAAAGCCAGAACAGCATGCAAATCCAAGTCTCCAGCAAACGGACTGCATGCGATTTCTGTGGTTTCCCCGTGTTGTTTTACCAGCTGTTCCTCCTTTGATATGATTTTGGCACTCTTTGGCAGGATGGATCCTCGAAAACCGCATCCAAACCGCTTTCTAGAAAGTGTTGGTCAATCTCAAAGAAACAAATGGCTTCAACAAGTCGACAAAGGCCCTTCCCATGCACTGATGTTCCTACAACTCCAATCTTGTCCGTAAATTACGGACACAAGTACTTGCTTCCCCAAGAGGACATTGGACAAAATCCGTGAGTCCCCCCAGTTTTGAGTCCCCACAAATGGGCCATGGCTGCTGGGCTGGCAGTTTGACCGAACCTCGCATGATTTGAGACTGACAGCTGTTGCCAATAGTACCCCCCCTCAAACCCAACCCCGACCGGCAACCAGTTGCCCAACCAACTCTGGCCCATTTATTTTGGAGGCTACGCTGCTTTCTCAGGTTGGTAAACCAAAAATGTGTGACGCATCAAATGTTTAACACCAATTGGCAAGCACAACTGGGCCTCGGGTCCCGGAACGGCCCCCCCCCTCTGTTTTAATTAACGAGGAGGCAACACGCCTGGTGACACGGTCGTGGGAAATAGCCCTTCCTGCGGCTGGAATTCCAACTTGGTATGGCGAGCTCCGGCCTGGTGAACTCGTTCAAGATGCCATCCATCTCCAGCTGCTGGCCCCGCGGGAGCTGGAGCTGGCGGTGTGCACTTTGAGCGAAACGGAGGGCGCAGGCGGAAAAATCCGCGGGAAGGTCCCAGGTGAGGTTGCATGGGGGTGTCACTTTTCGGGGGGGACCCGGCTTACATTTGATTTTGAATGAGTATGTCACTTTGGGAGCGGGGGGGGAGGGTGTAGGGAAAGGGCCCATTCGGAGACAAACGTTGCTGTTGAACCTGACCACGGGCCTTCTGGCCGGCTCCACGTTAGTTCGTGGGAGGGTAAGCAAAGTCGGATGCAAGTACCTAAATACAGTTGGGTGTGTGGATGGATGTGATTGTGTGTGTGTGGGTGTGGGTGTGTGTGTGTGTGGGTGCGTGTGGCTGGGTGTGGGTGGGTGCGCGTGCGCGTGTGCGTGCGCGTGCCCGTGCGCGTGCGTTTGGGGGTGGGTTCCCTTTGACAGCCAAGACAGGAGGGGAATTGGTGGGGAGACTCACCATGTAAAACTAGACCCCGGTTATCCCGAAAGCGTGTGTGACAAAGGTGATGCAAGAATGTTGTGATTTACACAGGTGTGATGTTGCTTGTTGACACTGCGTCGCGCCACGTATCCAGGCACTACCCTACTCGACAACTGAAATTCTTAAACCTGCAAACAAACATCTAAGCAACCCATTTCTAGCATGCAGCAATCGCGTTGCAGCATTGCCTCATGATCCATGTGCAAGGCTAAGCGGCGAACTTGACACCGCGCAATCAAGCCCACGCATTGAACACTGAGCTGCGCGCGCGCCGCTGTACAATCGCTTCGCCCTCGCTTGACAAATTCAAACGTTATATATTTATGTCTCTTTCTCTCCCTCTTTCTCTTTATCTGCCTATTCCTCTCTCTCCCTCTCTCTGTCTCTTTCTTCTTCTCTGTCTCTTTATTGTGTGTGTGTGTGTGTCGAATCGCTCTCGCTGCGGAGATTCTGCATGTCGAATCGCTCTCGCTGTGGCGCCGTGCGAATTTCAAAGCTCGCCGACGAACCCTTTGCGGAGATGGTGTGTGTCGAATCGCTCACGCTGTCGCGCCGTGCGATTTTCAATGCTCGCCGACGAACCCTCTGCGGAGATTCTGCGTGTCGAAGCGCTCTCGCTGTCGCCGACGAACCCTCTGTGGAGATTGTGCGCGTCGAATCGTTCTCGGTGTGGCGCCGTGCGAATTTCAAAGCTTGAGCCCTCTGCGGAGACTGTGCGTGTCGAATCGCTCTTGCTGTGGCTTGCGCCGTGCGAGTTTCAAAGCTAGCC